GATGATGATGATGAAAGTGACATCATCATCATCATCATCCATAAAATAGCCTAATGTGCTATCTTTCTCTCTTACTTTATCCATGTCATTCAGTATGTACAGGTTGTATTTCTATATCTATTACCCTTGGGCCACACATGGACACTAGACTCTACCCCCTGGGCCATTGCCCTTGACCTTATCTTACTGATGAGAGTGACACAGTCTGTCCTTCATGTAGTCCTCCGTGCAGTCAGTCTGACATGCCCACTCTTTAAACCTGACATCATCAGTCTGTGCCACCATCAACACAACGTGCAGTTTACAAGGCACTGTAAACTTGCCTTAATTGCTGTGTAACCACAGTCTCTGTCTGGGGCAGATTGAAGTGATGGGTGCTTTCCCACAGGACAGTCTGCTTACACCAACACACTTCCCCCTTCCTGACCACTTCTTAGTTTGAGCTCGGTCAACGTATACAGAGACATCAATTCCAGTGATGGAGATAGAGGGTTACTTATATACATTCTCTAGTGTTTTTGTGTACTACTTCCATATACAGGAAGTCCCTTGAAGGCACATCCATTCATTGATCCAGAATTGAAATGTTATGCCCAAGCCCCAACATTTGTAAATTTATCTCTTTTTACAATGGAATCTGGCATTTTCAGCCAGAAATCCAATATCAGTTATAAAGACAATGTTGAAGTTGATTTACCCAGAGGAACTTTTCCAAGAGTCATTTTTCAGTAATATTCTACATTTCAAACAGCCATCAACCAGACAACTGTGAGGGCCACGCACTTGTAACATGTTTACAAAACCAACTGACCACCCAGACATTGCCAGACTTTGACAGTGTTGTTATGACCAGGTAGACTCGTGGCTAGGAGCAAGGAAGTTGGATTTCACATGGATATTATGTTTTCCACCTACACGCTAATGGTCAGTTGCTGGAAATTAATTTCCTGGCTATTTCCAAAGTTTTTTGTGGACCACACAACACACAGGAGACAACAGGCAAACAGACCTGCCGGTAGTGGTCTGAGTGAGTCGCCGGTCACATCCTGCTGACCATGACATTGCCGAGAAGGCACAGACCACACAAAAACAGAAACTTCTCATTGCTTAACTACACTGGACAGTATCCAGGTTAGGTTCAGCTTCACCCAAATTTGAGGAGAGTTACACCTTAAGTGAAAGAACCCCCTGCACTTACTGGTATTGATAAGAACAGGGGTCCTTCTTCTGTCTTACACAGATTTTATGTTGTGCCTTTAGGTAGTTAACAACATGTAGTTACTCTCACTCACTCACTCACTCACTCACTCACTCACTCACTCACTCACTCACTCACTCACTCACTCACTCACTCACTCACTCACTCACTCACTCTCACTCACTCACTCAGGACCGCATGCTCCGGGGAGCTTCGCGCCTCTCCAACATGTAGTTACATAGCACAAAAATTGTCTCATCTTTACAGAATCGTCCAGTTTTTAAAATGCAAACATCAAAGTGGACGTGAACCCAAAATTAGTAGGCTAATACTCTACCGTACTGACATCTTAAAAGGTCTAACATTTACAGTGAGTAAATATACTCATGGTAATATCATACACAATATTAGACATGAAAGCCAGAGATATACTTACACAGTCACCTGTAGCCAATGTGATGTCATCACAGTCATCAGGGCAGTTCCCAGACTGAAACAGAACATGTTTCCAATGTCATAACTCTCCCACCTTTTTGTAATACATCACAAACAATTCTCCATATTTAATGTTACTCGGAGGTGAAGTGGAAATGAATGCTCATTCCCTGTCTCACATTTCAAGAACTAAGTCCTCACTACTCTAGCATTTACAAAAACATACGCTACATTGTACTTTACAAAGGGGTATCTTGATCCTGAGGATTACATGCAGGAATTCAAGTATTCCCACACCTGGCTCTCTTTAGAATCATACCACTTTTTAATAGCAACTGTAACTGTCTTTGTGTTCTGTGTAACAGTGATGGCAAGGGTGACAGCGGACTAGGACCATGTCACTCTACCCACTTCAGTCACCCCAGACTGTTATGATGTTGTGTTACTGTCAATGTAGATGGAATGATGATGGGCTTGATGAAGTTATCATGAACAGCAACCCATATGAATGAGAGTTTGAAGTTGGTCTATGAAGCCTAGGGGTTTCCTCTTGCCTACATTTCCTACATTTGGGTGACAATTTGCCAACTGTGCAGTCCTGTACTTCTGTCAATATCACATACCTCTTTTCAAGGACTGACCATAGGGGTCAAGGAAACAAATGACCTTGAGATAAAGGCACAAAAAAACATTCTGTACCTGAGAGAATTTCACATTTCTTGGTTTTAAGCTTGGCATCTGCAAGAACTTTAGCCAAGTTTGTCTCTTATCAGAAAACCCCCCCATAACATTTTATGACAGTGGCATAACTGGCACTGTCCTTGAGTGAGGCACAAGAGATTTGAATGCAGCAACACACTTTCTTCTTAACATGACAAAAGCCTTGGTTCTGTGAGTAAATGGAATTCTCAAGTAAGGATGACCAATACAATGGTCTCTTGCAACAGCTTGTGCCAGACTGTATTGCAGGCAACGTTCCGCATGTTTCCGAACAAACAATAAGGAAGTTTTAAAGAGAAAGACAAATATGGAATAGTAGTGATGGACACAATACCCTCCTTGTCTACAATGCTTTTAATCATTTCATAAAAGAAGCTACGAGAAGCCCCTTTCCCAAACTTGCAAAACAAAGCTCATTATCCTACTAATTCCACTAAAACACAAATGACACTGTCCTTGCTTAGTCTGGTACTTGAAAAAACACTGGCGATCACGACTTCACTTGTTAACTGAGGATTCTGACACCAAAGGCCAACAGGGAGCCACTACATTTGTTCAGTGCTTCTCACAGAAATCCAGGGACATAAAGGCCCAATGACACTGATGAATGGTAGGTGAGTTCTTAGAAAATGTTGGTTGTGCATTTTCAACATTATATCAAGCTCTCATGGGTTGCTACGTGCTACAAGATGGTCTACCCTCAAGGACTGAGGGCAGGACCTTTTAACTCAAAGTCTTAAAAGTCTAGATTTTCTGTCAATATGAAAGGGGAAGTTACATCATAGGTAGAAAGTAATGTTCATGAATGTGAAGAAAGGGCAGCAAGGCTTGTGGTCTATATCCCAAGGGTGGCTTTAGAACTGTCTCCCTTATGGCCTCCATTGTCAAACAATGGTGCTTACACTGGCATCAAATCTTTCGGTTTTGCTGGTCAAAACACATAAAACTGACAGAAAGGGCATTTTGTTCTGTCAGAATCGTAACATTGGGTCTTTTTCTTAATCAAACTATTAATGGGTTGGTCTTGGGTTTCATTTTTATGTTCAGAAATTGTTTTTACTGAATGAATGGTCGGTATGTTTTCAAATACATATAAGTTACATGTACCATCATACAAAGCATTAAGTTTGGTACCCTCCTCCATTTGCTATATTGCTATGAATTTCTAATTGAACACAGGGAAAAAAGACACATGGGTACATAAATTATTGACATATCAATTCAAGTAGATCTACATAGTAAAAAAACTTAAAAGTGCAGGTGTGGCTCTGAATAGGTAGAAAGCACTTGTGGAGGGAAAGTTCTCACCTGTGGCAAATCTGTCTCACAAAGAGTTCTGCACTGTGCCCTGCACACTGCCCTTCCCAGCAGCGACAAGGGCATACAGTCCACCATCGTCCATCCCAGGATCCCGGCAACCGCGACAAGCGCGCAAAACTTCTCACTGAGCACCACCATTCTCTGGATCTTGTCCTCGAAAAGCAGACTTCACTTGTGTTGGGGACAGCCGTGAAGGCCAGACTTCTGTTGTCAACTGTTGCCTATAAACTCACTTGACTCAAATGACTCTTGTGTGCTCTGGCCTTTTAGATGGGAAATATTTGCATGAGGTATTGGGGGCCCTAATGCATTCACAGGAAGTATGCAAGGTAGCCCAGAAAATTAATGCGAATGACTTGAGCGAATGCCTCACATGTGTGACAAATCAGAGCTTAGGGACAGTCCACCCTGATAGGTTGCTGAATGGAAAAGGGGTGGTTTGGAAAAGTTGCTATAAATCAGATCATTTCTAAATACTAATGGGGGAAATTAGCTATTGTTTTTCTCCCAATAGGTCCTATCACTACATAAGTCCCTCAGACTGTCTCTGGTATATTTCCTTGTCTATCTGTTATCCTTCGGTCCATCGTGAAAAATAATTACATCCTCCAACATCTGTCTGTTACAGATGGTTAGCACAATCCCTAAAATGCTTTATAATGGACTAAATTGGGGAACATTACAGGATTGTACTGGGGCAGCCAGGCATGACTCTTCATTCTAGTTTTTAAAAATGCCGAACAGGAAGTGTTCTAAGTCAAATGAAAAGTTGTGAAAAGAACTGATTGTGACATTACTCACCCAACCACACTTGTGGGTGGGCGCCTCCAGATTAGCTGTGTGGTTGGGAAGTGCTGCTGTGAAGGCTATTACCTCGGCATAGGAAGCAGTGGGCTTGCAAGTAACCTGCTTACTATGATGCAACCATATTTAGGACCAACCAAAATCAACCTGCCAATCTTTTTGTTTTAGGTTTATTTTGGCCATAGTGGACATCACAGGTTTTGTTTTCTCAACTTTAACATCGCCCATTATCAGACAAGACTGGCCCTGACTGGACATCTCGTTAGTCATGACTACCTACTACCTACTATCAATAGAAAATCTTTTTGCTATGCAGACTTTGAAGGGTGACAGTAAATAACTAAATATTAATAGTATTCATTTATACAAGCAGGTACAACAAATCAGTTTGCTAATGCTACAGATTATTTTGCTTCTCATCAACTGCTTTAAAATAAAATTCAAGAAATCGATCAAATGTCTTTGAAAATACTTATTATATTTCTGAAAGAAATCAATTATTTATATGATTTACATAAGAAAGTTGCAATGCTTTTCTGTGACATACAGTCATCATAATTAATTCATCACTTACATTTCATCAGGCTAACATGAATGTGTATTGCAAATGTGTATTGCATATCTATGGTGATATACTGGCTTTTCAATAGAGAGAAGCATCATTCTTATAGGATTATATTCCACACAAAAACCTTTTGTCTTATGCAACTTATTGGCATGTGGATGATTAAAGAAATACTCTATAAAGAAGAGTAACCATCAAGAGCAAGTTAACCTGTGTGAAGATATCCTTGTCTTTGCATTTGCTGTTCTTCATTATGAAAATACTTGCCTCATTGTAAATTGCACTGTCCCTAGATGCCTATGCTCTCTGTAGTTACATTTTATAGTTTTCTTTAGTCTTTAATAATCACACAGTTGGACACTACAGCTACATCTATCCTGCACATAATGGTGAAAACAATGGTTGGAATACTGTCTGCAGTTTGTAGTCCTTTGATATCAATTTCATTTTCATGTGATGCCACACAGTACACTGTTTCTTAAAACTCTAATGTTACCTTGATTATTAAAATAGATTTTCCATGATTGCACTGACTGAATACCATTTTTTTAATGATATAATATCGGTGATTGATACCATACACTGTGCCCTGGTCAGAGTTTTGACTGTTGCTTGGTTGGACCATGGCGGAGGCTGGACTGGTAGTAGCTCTCATGGACCACCAAGGCAGGGGTGATGTCAGACACACGCCCACAGCCTTAACAGACACAGACAAGAACACACACTATACAAAACATGTACATGTGACTTACACTATTTCTAACTACATACACCAAGTAAAAATATTATCACTTACTCCTCTCCAGTGTAGAAACTTACAGTATCTACATTTTTTGCAATACATGTATGCAGTTCTCCTGTAGTTGTGACCATTGATGTTGACTTCATTTGTGTGATTACTTTGGTATGGTAAGCAGTATAGTTCAGTTAATACCTCACAGAAGATAAACTTGCAGATTGAGTAGAGGCTTTCTTCCATGCACAGGTTCATCACAAACCACTACATCCTTCTGCATCTAGGCTAGTAAAATTGGTACAATAACCATATACCAACTACATGTAATACAAAAACAGAACACACACATAGTTGTTTTGCACTAACCTGACAATGCCATAGCAAGACTGAACTCTTCCTTCAGCATTTGAAGCATCTCCTGCACACCTTCTTGTCCCTTAAAGGAGTGAACATAGAAGTGTGAAATCGCAACATTAAAAAAAATGTGAGTAAAACTGACTTAGCCGAGCAAAAAAGGGATCCAGTGCTTAAAACAAAATGGAAACAGTTTGCCTTGATAAGAATCGCTGTGATTCTCTCAGGAAGGAGAAAGTGATGACAATATTACCTTGTATGCAAGACCCCAGAGTACAGGCCTTCCCACAAACACACACCTCGCCCCTAGTGCAAGGGCTTTGAGCACATCAGTTCCAGTTCTGACACCACCATCCAAGTACACCTCAACCTGTCCATTCACTGCTGAAACCACTTCTCTTAGGGCATCTATCTGCAAAAGTATTTCAAGATTTAGCACAATTAATAAGAACAAGGGCTGGGTAGAACATTTACAAACATTAATATAAACAATTTTGATTTTAGCATTTTTAAATGCCAAAATCAAAATTAAAAATCAAATAGAGAAGATTATCAATAAACTAGAAAGGCCAATATTTGCTAAATGGAGCAAATATAGCGATGGGTTCACCACATTTTACCACATGGCAGGGAAAGAATGAGAAACACAAGGGAAAACAATGCTTTACATTGATATAACTATAGTATGAAGTAACATACAACTAAGACTACAACAGTTGGATAGCTATTCCCTACATTATTGGTTAGGATTGCATAATGCAAACTGTTGATTTTCAAGATAAAAAGAAGCGTTCATAGCCCGCATTCCAATGCTGGAGCAGGAAAGCTTAAAATACCTACCAAAACACTTGAATACAGACATACTGTCAGTATGGCATGGCTCTGTGCAGGTGTAAATGAAGTTAAGCCAGTTAAATCCCAACAGCCAATCAGCAAGGAGAATAGAGGAAAGCTGCATGCCTATTGGTTGATGCCTTGCATGCCATTGTGATGACTCATGTCCAAATGTGGTAAACACTGCACACTTACACAGTAATACATTAGCTATTACACAGCCAAAAAACTCAAATAAAACCATTCTTAAAGCCTGTATCACAATAATTTAAAAAACGCCTAGGGGTATTTGCCCACTGTACCTCCATACCAAATTTCAGGACCTTAGGCCCTAAAATGAAGAAGCTGAATCCATTTAAAGTATATGGCAGGAGGAGGAGGAGAAGGAGGAGAAGGAGGAGGAGAAGAAACATCAGAAAAAGCAATATGGTTTCACCACACCACTTCGTGGTGTGGTGAACCCATAATAAGACTTGATAGCAACTACCTCAAGCATCAAAATTTAGGTCAGATACACCACAAAATTGGCAATATAAATGTTTTGCAGGCTGGAAGGTAAATTTTGTGATATTTGAACAATCATGGGTGAGAAGAAAGAAAGGATGAGAGGGAGGAAAGAAAATGATCTCACTGTAGCAGGAACTCCATCCAGTTGCCTTGCTCCATGGTTAGAGACTAGGATCCCATCTATACCATGTTCAACAGCTTCTCTGGCAACTTCCGCTGAAGAGATAAGAAATTTCCATATATAGATACTGACAATCTGCAACTATGTAGCCAGGAAACTGCAGTACAACAGTAATGAGCCATAGCTATCAATTAAGGCAACATGCTATGGAAGCTCAATTTGGCTGACAGTTTTTTTCTGGTGGCTCTAGCGTGAAATAACCAAGTTTAAGATGGATAGACAGGATACAAAAGGCACAACAAATTATTGAAAGGGCAGGCAAGACAGACTTGAGGTCGAGGAAGATGAAGAAGACTGGAAGAAATGAGGCCTTCAACTAGAGTCTACCTGGGGAAGATGTAAAAAGACAGACACTTTCTGCTTCACCTGTGAGAACTCCTTTGAGAATGATGGGCAGCTTGGTGACACTTCTGAGCCAGTCTACATGCTCCCAGCTGAGACTGGGGTCAATCAGGGACGCCACGTAGGCTGCCAGTCCAGAGTCGCTGTCACTCTGCACACCCGAGGATCGAACATCGCCTTCTGAGAAGTTGGCAAGCCTGAAATCATATCAATTTTTTCATGTGACAAAATACATGTACATGTAGTCTATATTGACCATTCAAGGGGCCATCATCACAGTGATTAGTAATAGGTATATTATTATATTTTAGTGGTTATCTTTCTGTCTTCTTATTGCTTGAGTAAATGGAAAAAAATAATCTAAGGCCCAACCAACAAGTGGTCACAATAACCAAATGGTCCTTATATAGACGAGGTCACTTATAAAGGTTTGATTATAGAAGTACATGTAAATATCATCTTTGCAAACTTTCAGTATTGCCTGAATCTCAGTATTCAAAAGCAGAGGGCTCCTTTACTATACTGTACTCACCTGAGATGTGCTGGAAGCTTGAACTTGTTTCTGGTATCCTCTAGACGTTTGCCGAGGATGGGTGTATCTACAGTGAGGAAAATGGCCTTGTACCCGGCCTTCTCAGCTCTCTCCACCAGGTTCCTGGTCACCTGTCTGTCCTTGTACACGTACAGCTGGAACCACCTCAGTCCACCGGCTGAGGCCTCGGCAACCTCCTCTATGGTGGACGTGGCCCAGGAACTTAGGATCATCCCCGTGCTCATGGAGGCAGCAGCTGAGGAAATGTTAGGCAACAAACACTCAGAATTAGACATGCCAGTGTGTTCCCACTGCAAATACATGCAATGTGATCATGAATATATGCTCTGTCTTGCATTGCTATGCAACAGTTATTTCGGCTGCAAACTTAAAACACTGCAAATGCTTGCCTCCTTTAAAGTTGCCCTCCAGGAAGTAGTCCTAATGCAAAATTAAGTTCCTGAAATACATTGTATGTGGACAAATCATGTAAACTGCCTAGGTGCCAGCCTTTGTAGTTACTGCTGGCTCCCTCTTTTCTCTGGCTACTACCATGGACAGCCAGTGAGAAGAGAGAGCCAGTGGTAAGTATGAACTAGGGTGACACCCAGTCTACTGTCTAGTGCTAGTTACAAACCTCTGGCTGTTGCCACTTCTCCATCTGGATGAGCCATCCTCTGCATGGCTGTGGGAGCCATGGCCACGGGGAAGTCCAGCAGCTCACCCAGCACTGTTGTTGTTGTGTCTCTCCTGGAAACATCTCTCAGGAACCGAGGCCTCAGGCGATACCTGAGATAAAATTTGACAATTCATCAGTGTGACTTACAAAGTAGTGTGTTGTTACAACATGTGCACATTTTCCAGACCTTGGTGGGATAGGACTACAGTCATGTGAGGTTGAGCTGGGCCCAGCAAAGCAAACTTGGTCACACCAAGGACATTTTATCCTTGCAATTGGTCACACCTGGGAGTTGGGCTTCTCTTATTAAAGTTTATCTCTTGATAAACAAAGCTCCTTGTACATGTCTCTGCTAACAAAATTATTCAGGCCTCTCTAACAGGAAGTCTCTTGGACTAAGGTTATCAAAAGTTTCCAAGACATTGCAAGGTAAGCCTGAACTTGTTGAGGTGAAGCTACTTTTCCAGATACTGCCCTATTAAAATCACTGTGTGTTGCATTGTCTTGTTTCTGTGTGCAAGCTTACCGCATTACCCTTGAGACTAAATTAGGATGTAGGATAACGGTGGTACAGTACGATCGATCTCAACACTATAATAATAATGATATACCTTTGAAGAAAGGCCATAGGTCAAAAACTTTTTGAGATAAAGCAAGGTGGCCACACGTAAACGTTGATAGTACAAGAAAGTCTGTCAGAATTTACCTTCTAAATGCATCCACGTTGTCTCGAAGTGTTTGTTCGTTATTTGCACCGCTATTGTAGTAATTCAACGCATTTTTGTCCAGCGATTCGCAAGCAAACTTCTCAAAATCTGCCAAGCACACAAACTTGCCCGCCATGATGGCTTGGACTGTACCAAGTATGTTGAGGGGTGTCGGTGATTCTTCTTCTTCTTCTTTCTGTGTGCCGCATTCACTTTTTAATAAAAGAGGATTTTTTTTCCTCCTGTGCCTATTATACCCCTGTTTATGTATATATCAAAGTTCACACCTGTTTTCTCCTATATTTCTCTCCTGCTCTTTATGTCGCTTTAATAATCCATAAACGTCATCGTACCTGCAGTTCGATAGTTTGTCGCTAAGGGCCGCTCGCGTACATTGGCTCTCAGTGCAAACTAATCTTGTGTTAGAGCAAAATTATCATTTATTAATAACATTCTCTGCATGATTACCATTCAGAGTATTGAAAAAATAACAAGTCGCCATCGGCATGCAGTCCCAAGCCTGTTGTATATAGAGTCCGGAGCATTACCTTATGATAGAATCATGTATGGTTCATCAAGGCTTCTGTTGGTTTAATACTAAAGTTCCTCCTGTCCTTTCCTCTGTGCACTGACTATTGGCATACTAGTATCAATCTTTGGCAGCAGAGAGTCATATTCAATATCCCTGGGCAGGTTACTACAGGTCATCCATTGACAGGTTTTACAGGCTATCCTATCTCATCAACCAATCGAAGAAGGGGTCGGGGGTCGTGTTTGTCTATTCAGGTCTTCCGTTTTACCTGTCTAGATCTTGTCAGTTCCCGTTCCAACGCTGTACAGGACAACTTCCTCTTCGTGGCGACAATACGCATTCAGTATGAAGTTACTCGTTTTTCTGGTAGCAGCCTGTGCTGTCGTCTATGGACAAGAACCCCAACCATGCAGTGAGCTTTGTTTTTACTTTACCTGTCACGATCAGGTGTGACGTAGAAAGCCTGTGAACGCCTGAGAACGCCAGAAAAAGAAACATTTAGATCGCTGATTACATCGTTGATCGACTTTCTGAAGTCTCAGTGAGTGATGATATGTGATATGTTTCGTATGCTAGTTGCTATGCAGTCGTCGAATATTGAGACGGCAAACCATGAATCAAATCTAACTTGGTGCCTAGTCTACCTGACCAGTGGCGTGCAAAACTTACATAACACGTGACGCGACGTAAAACACCGAAGAACAGGTTTGATTATTCACGGCATGTTGCTAAATAACAAAATGGATGTTAACGTTACGTTACTGTTGTGAAACCAACGTGCAATCTCTTCCTTATTTCTATTCCCTATTTGTTTATTTCTAGTTGCACCCAAGCTCTGGGAAGCCAGGATGTCACGGGTGAGTTGTGGTTCAGTATGCAAATCACGTAGGTAGAATATTATAGATGTCATTGCGTCACACCAACAATGACACTGCAGAAATTATGTTATGTTATTCTGCCCAGCAAATTATACTGTTAAGTAACTATCCCTCTGTAGCTATCCAGTATAAATTGTGAACCACCTGTTGCATACTGAAAGAAACTAAAGCAGGTCGAACTCGAAGCGTAATGCATAACACTTATCCACAGCTCTGACATAGTGCAATCAAGAGCACCTGGTTACCCATGCTCTTGTTGAATAAGTCTGTTTGGTTCTTTTTCGTGCAGATTTTCGGGGGCTAAGGCCTGAAATTACCCCATATATACAACCATACAATGTACGATAAATAATAAAACTAAATTTCTTATATTCATGTCACCTCTGGCTTTTGGTATTCATTCATGCATTGCTTTTTTTTAGATTGACCCCGCCAAAAGGTTCTATGAACGTGCACGTATTTCTTATGACGCCATCAACCGACGTGTTCGCATCATAGAGGAAGTCAACATCAAGGAACAGAGGGACTTCTTCGATGTCCTCTTCCTCCATGAAGTCGTAAGTCATCTTCTCAGATTTGCCTCCCTTTCTATGCCTTACCTGAGTCTACTTATATATAAAAAACGACCTTTGTATATTTGGTTTGGGGAGAGCTTGGAAAGATAATTTGGATAACGTGGAGGCTTTCCTGCTGGTCCAAATGTTTGTTGATAAGAAACACACTTTTGTTATCGGTAAGGTTGTTATACATTTCTGGGGACAAATGGATACGTAAATCTTCATGCCAGGGCAAGGAGTATAAATTCAACCTGAGGACAAAGGAGTGCGCTGTGAGTGCAATAGCCGAGCCGTTCCGTCCGTTCGAAGTACCCCCGAATGCCACCAGCTTCGGCGAGTCCTACATCGGGACGGGCGCCTTTCCCGGTGAGGGCGTGCTCATCACGCTGTGGGGAGGAGAGGTCGAACAACCGGCAGGTGGGTTCGTAAGATCACTCATTACCCACATATTACAGAAAAAAGGTGGGGTCTCTACTGCCTTCGTCTATTTAAAAAAGTGTAGTAGTGACAACTGACCGAGAGCTTCAGAGGTTTTGCCCCAAAAGCGCTCTGTGATTCTCAAAGCTCTGTTGTGACCTTTTGTTTGCATGGCAAGTTGGTGTTTGCATGTTTGATGCCACCGATTACGTTTGTCCTCATTCTGTCAAACATGTTGACAGTAACAAACTTTTAGCAACACTGTCCAACAATATCGTTGTATTCTTTACTGCCCTATGAACAGGCAGGTACATGGCTACCTTCACCAACAGCGGCTGTGTACCCGTGGAGGACGGCTTCTGCACCGAGCGCTTCGGATGTGTCCACACAGCGTGAGTATAGGCGTTGTCTCAAGTTATTATAACGGACATAAGATGTTATAACGAATGAACTAATAGCCTGGTGGGCGGTGTTTTTATATTTAAAAAAAAATGATACTAGTATATAGTACTAAATGATACAAGTTAATTTCAACCCCTTCAGAACAGTCAGGAACGTTTGAGGAGTTGCGTAAGGTTGAGGTTGCCTAATTTCATGTCAAAGCTTATCTGACTTCTCAAGTCTCACGGCTTTTCCTTTGTAGGTTCTACGACGTTGTTGCTGGGATCTCCGACCCAAACGTCTTCATTCCTCCAAGAGAGTGCGAGTAGGAGGGGCCCTATAAATGTCTAATGACATCAGTTCTTGCGTGTCAGTTAATGCTATGCAACCAAAATATAGATATCGATGTGAGCATTAATTGTAACATTTTTACTGTTGAGTAATAGACAAAATAAATAAAAAATTACTGTTTAATTTCACTGGAAATTTCACAGAAAATTGATACAAGAAAATAATCACTTTTTAAGAAGCAGTACTAGTTGTCTCGTTTAAGAAATATTATGTTTGCTGCAAGGCAACCGACTCACTTCCCTAATATCTCTCCGTGATGATATAGAGATAGCGAACCAACATCGATATAGTGGGGCAACCTTTGACTCTTCTTGCTGCTACCATGATTGTTGCTTTATAATGACATTGTCGACTTGAAACATCAACTGATGTATGGTGGGTGATTGGCATCTAAATGTAATCAAGCTGAATCTATTAAAAGAAAGCGATACATCGACTGGTTTTATTGTCTCTTATTGCCAAGTATCTGGCGGGCTTTCCCACCCAAAAAAGTCGGGAAGTAATAAACACTGGATACTTAAGACTACCTTTCAAAGATTCCTTTCCTTCTGTACGTTGTTAGAGTGATTCAGGAACAATCTTGACTGTTGTGTCCTATATCTTACTTCTGCTCTATTATCACTCTCACCATAGGGCACAGAAAGAAATGGCACAAACGAGCCAATACAAGTTTCAGCAAAATATATTTTATTCCACATTCATCCTTCCTATGATAATGATAACAATGATAAGCATGGAAAGCCTCGCTCAATGGACAGCACGTAGAAATTCCCATTACTCAATCTATGCAAACGTTGATATCACGTCCTGCAGCGCTCTGTATGACATAAAAATACGTGAGCTGCGACTACCTTTGCCGAACACAGGATTCATTTATATAGATATATAGATATCAGATTTTAACAAGCATTAATGCTGTACGACAATAAATATTATAGCATTGCTAGTGACTAAGCTGTGGTGCTAGAGGGCTACAGTTCAAGACCACTGTCTCACTCTGCCATCTCATCATCGCCCTCCGCACTATCAATGTCCTCCTTCCCATTCTCTACTGCCGGTGCCTCGGCAGACTGGACAGGCACGACTTTCTCGGCAGGCGGCGCCTCGATGGCCATCCTCGGGGCCTGGATGCTCAGCACTCCGTCCTTGGACAGCACGGACGTGACGGTCTCGGGGTCCACCCCCTCGGGTAGGACAAACTCCCTCCTCAGCTCCTGATAGCGGAAGCTGTGGCCGTTCTGGTCGGCGTGGCGCGCTTCGTGCTTGCCGTGGACGCGGACTTTGTTGCCGACGGTTTTGACGCTGATCTCGTCAGGAGAGAAGCCTGTCACGTCGAGCGACACCTGGTACTTCTCCGGGGTGGCTTCGGTCTTGGTCTCCGTCTCATTTCCTTCGTCGGGTTTCTTCTCAGCGGCCTTGTTCTTCTGTGTAGGCGGCCGGCATGGGCACTGTGAAGGGCTGAGGAGTTGGTTGAGGAAGAGCAGTCCATCTTGGAGGGCGGCGTCTATCTGGTGTTCCATAGTGTAGAGTGGAACGTCTGTGAAAACAAAGATCTAACGTCAGTATAAACGCGCCTCGGGGTGCAAGTCATATACGGTGTCAAAGACGTGTTTGTGTGGCAAATCATATCATGATAATAAAAAATATAATTATACAAGATACAATGTATGGCATTTTCTGTAAGTTTAACTTAACAGGAAGTTCTCAGGCTATGGAAACTACGTAACAAGTAACGTTACACGAGTACAGTCTTCTTGTCTTATTTACAATGCGGGGACGTGTCTGACATAGCCCTGGCGACTGTTGAATACTACATCCCTTGCTTGCAGGCTACTTCGGACCGTAAACTGTACCCTGTTGATATGGCGCTACAAAGCGGATATTTCGCGGGAAGAAGGTGGACTTACCATTCGCAACTCCCGGGAAGCAGCGGGGCCGGGGCCGCACGGTTCGGCAGCAGGGTCTGCTCGCGTAGAACGGAGAGAACACGAGAGCCATGGTTCTGTCTGGTGTCGGTCGCGTCGCTGTTGTGGTTATCGCTGGAAAGATGATGCTGATATTTCCGTCGTTCGGAAGAGTCTGGTGAACCCGCCAGCGTCACCCATTTTTATATTCCAACATGGAAGGGAATAGATGGTTCCTGAATCTTCCAATATGATGTAGTTGGTGAGCAATGTGTAAAAATACATGACTTGGTCGAGTAAATTCTCGAAACATCTCAAAGCTTCCAGTGACTTCCGGGTTCCACAGCGCCTGCGCAAAATCGTAAACCAATCAGATAGCACATGACATTACGGCGGTCCACCGGTGTCTTTGTAATCACGCCTATGATTGGTCAGATGTAGATTTTCTGGGTCACCCTGGAACATTCGCGTCGTCTGCTAGGAATGACTTTGGGAAATTCACGTCGTCTGCTCAGCATGAGTTTGGGGAAGTCAGTGGAACTTTCGCGTGGTCTGCTAAGAATGACTTGGGAAATCTTTGTCGTCTGCTTAGCATGACTTTGGAAAATTCATGTCGTTTGCTAAGCATGACTTTGTGGAAGTTAGTTGAACATTCGCGTCGTCTGCTAAGATTTTTTTGGGCAAAAAACGACTAAAGGAAAAATGTTAACCGTAGTTGTTTTAGGCAAGGGTATGGTTGAGTTTTCCTTGCTGGTGCAGTAAAATGTCTAGCTCATTTTAAAAAGTCATTACGCTCAATGGGGAGCAGGAACTTTGGATTCCTTAGCTTACCTTTTTTACCTCCTGGGAAGGAGATACCCCTCTGTGTGAAGGTTTTGTTTTGTCATGTTTGTATGTTCGCTGCTGTAACTCACGTTGAGTTTGATAGATTTCTTTGATTTCTTGGTGTATGATTAGGTATTGGGTCCAGGTGATGTGGGATTTACTAACGATACATCTGTATTTACAGATATTGAAATGAAAGAATTTAACACCCCAGTGCTGCATGTGATGTAGGGTCGTCTATTGTGATTGTCTTAAACAACAAAGAAAACAACAATTTACTGTATTGATTGGCTAATGAGCAATCTGAGAAAATGGGTACCCCAGTACATAAAAATGATCGCTACTTTAAGAACCAATAGTCTTAACCGTTTAAGAAAGATTTATTGTGTATGGTGATTGCTGCTAGCCAACCGACTCATTATCCTAAACTCTCTCTTATAACTTAACAATAATAATGAAAGCACTGGCATACCGATCTAGCGGAGGTACTTTTACTCTTCCTGCTGCTACCATGAGACTTGCTTTTTACATTGCCGATATATCTAAAACAGAAACTGTTTTATGTTGGGTGATCGGCATCAAGCTGAAACTACTAAATTAAATCGAGAAATTAATCCATTGAGTTGGTTCTTATTGTCTCTTAGTATTTGATGGGCTTTCCCACCCAAAGTCAGAAATTGATACTTTCCTGAAAATTCCTTTTCCTTCTATAAGTCGTCAGAGGGATTTGCAATAACATTGATTTCCGCATCCTGTCTTACTCCTGCTCTATTATCTTAATCTCCAAGCAGATCTTTTGGTGGGGGTAAGACAGTATCAAATTGGCCAGTCTGTATCCATTTCCCCATCTTGGGTGGGGAAATGGATACAGACTGGCCAATTTGATACTGTCTTATCCCCACCAAAAGATCTGCTTGGAGATTACTATTATCTAGCTCCATGCTAACGGAAAACAAAGTTTTATTAATTACGCCTACTACTAGCTATTAGGCCCTGTCTTCTCTATGGTGTTGATGACGTTGCAATTATATCCTAGTCAGGGTTTCAGACTTACGCTTTTATCGATCTAAGCAGCTGCTAAAAGTTGAGGACTAATTGGCATGTGCCTCCTTCACCTTCCATTTCACAATCTCATTAGAAAGGATTGATACAAACAAATCAATACAAGTAACAGCAAAATACACTTTATTCCAGATTCACCCTTCTTATTACATAAGAATACACATACATGTAACAATTACATATTGATCTCCGCTTCGTACAAATGACTTTACGATAAGCACGGTATATCGGTACCCATACTTGGATAAATACGGTTACTCTTTATAGTTAACATGAGGAAACTTACATGACATTAAAATACGGAAGCTAATATTGTATAAATCTTGGTTGCATGAACACATGATACATTCAAGTAGATATCAGGCTTTACCAAACATAACACTGTACGACGATGAACATCGTAGAATTATCAGTGACTAAATACGGAAGTTGTGGTGCTAGAGGGCTACAGTGCAAGACCATTGTCTCACTCTGCCATCTCATCATCGCCCTCCGCACAATCAATGTCCTCCTTCCCATTCTCTACTGCCGGTGCCTCGGCAGACTGGACAGGCACGACTTTCTCGGCAGGCGGCGCCTCGATTGCCATCCTCGGGGCCTGGATGCTCAGCACTCCGTCCTTGGACAGCACGGACGTGACGGTCTCGGGGTCCACCCCCTCGGGTAGGACAAACTCCCTCCTCAGCTCCTGATAGCGGAAGCTGTGGCCGCTCTGGTCGGCGTGGCGCGCTTCGTGCTTGCCGTGGACGCGGACTTTGTTGCCGACGGTTTTGACGCTGATCTCGTCAGGAGAGAAGCCTGTCACGTCGAGCGACACCTGGTACTTCTCCGGGTGCGGGGTGGCTTTGGTCTTGGTCTCCTTCTCATTTCCTTCGTCGACTTTCCTCTCATCGGCCTTGTTCTGCTGTGTGGGCGGCCGGCATGGGCACTGTGAAGGGCTGAGGAGTTGGTTGAGGAAGAGCAGTCCATCTTGGAGGGCGGCGTCGATCTGGTGTTCAATGACGTAGAGAGGAACGTCTGTGAGAATAAAAATCTATGGTTAGCATGTGCAAATAACATACTACTACGTTATCAAATCATGTCATCACAACAAGATACAGTGTATGGCAACTTCTATGTTACAACAGTTTTAATAGGAAACTAAACTACAAATAAAACTATGGAGACTGACGACTGTATGCTGACAAGTCTTAATGGGATTTATTAAATTTAGAGAAAGTTTACTCAGAGAGTTTCTTGTGTACTGTCTTCTATCTATTATGCAGTGATGTGCCCAACATAGCCTTTAGAAATAGCCACGGCGACTGTTGCATGGCTTCTCTTGCTTGTTACGGGCTACATGACAAATCAATGCGGCATGTAATGTAGGAAGTTCTATCAGTCTAATGCATTACTAAAGGGATATTTTATGGGAAGAAGGCGGACTTACCATTCGCAACTCCTGGGAAGCCGCGGGGCCGGGGCCGCACGGTTCGGCAGCAGGGCCTGCTCGGGTAGAACGGAGAGAACATGACAGGCATGGTTTTGTCTGGTGTCAGTCGGGTCGCTGTTGTCGCTGGAAAGATGATGCTGATATGTCCGTCGTTCGGAAGAGTCTGGTGAACCCGCCAGCGTCACCCATTTTTATATTACATCATGGAAGTGACCAGGTGGTTCTTGAATCTTCGAATGTGATGTAGTTGGTGAGCAGGGTGTAAAAATACATGATATAATGGAGAAAATGCTAGAAAGTTCTGGAAGCTTCCAGTGACTTCCGGGTTCACCACAGCGCCTGCGCAAAATCGTAAACCAATCAGATGGCACATGGCATTACGGCGGTCCACCTGTGACTTTGTAATCACGCCTATGATTGGCCAGGTTTGAGATTTTCTGGGTCACCCTGGAACATTCGCGTCGTCTGTTAGGAATGACTTTGGGAGATTCACGTCGTCTGCTCAGCATGACTTTGAGAAAGTCAGTGGAACTTTCGCGTCGTTTGCAAAGAATGACTTAGAAATATTATATTTAGATAGTAAACAAAAAAACCTAGCTATCCGTAGAAGTTTTAGCCTGGGAAATTGAGACTTTCCTAGCTAGCTGATACTGATACGTATATAGTAAATGAGTAACATATCGAGCTCATTACGATTAAAGTAAAACATGATTTTGCATGTTGTAAAAAAACGGGCGTTTCGTTTGAAGAAGGCATTCTCTACTGCCATTGGGTACCTGTAATGACAATGCAAACAACGCACCTTTCTCTTCCGAGCTACTGAGTCCAAGGTCAATGTTTGCACAGCCCGTGTGACTTCTCCATTGTAGTACTGGAGCTCACGCCATGAAGACTCTCCTACTTTTCGCCGCCGTCTGCGTAACTGTGGCCTACAGCCAAGTGCTGGAGCCATGCTGTAAGTCATTTACTTCTTTTATATGTACAGCAAAGCTGTCCTTTAACTTGCGGCTCCGGATACGGGTTTTATTTTGTGTTTCCAGTACAGGTAACGTGTAGAAAGCTGGGTTTTAATTTGTGTTTGCAGTACGGTTGTAAAAGTTCTATATGGTACG